CTGCATGTGGCTGCATTTTTTAGCCTGAGCCACAGAGCATGTGGCTGCATTTCCGGAGTTAACAGTGAAAGTGTATTCACTTGCAAATTGGTTCAGTCTATGCAGGTTAGACTATCCTAGAAAGATTGAATCAGTTCAGGCTCAGGCTTTTTGAATGTCTGTACTTAGCTTTCATAGCACCATGCATAAATTGGCTGAAAGTGGCTTGATGCAATTCATGTATCAATTGTGTCATAAATGTAACATCTGCCAAGGCCCCTGGAGTCTACCATAAGGGGTTCCCAGTATATACGGCATATGTGTAAAATTAACATAAACAGAAAGTACATTTTTCATTGCTGTTAAAGTTGTATTAGGGTTTGCCCACCCAAAACCTTAAAAAAACAAAACTATTAGAAGAGTCTCCAAAGTATCTTGTCACATTTAGACAAGACGGGGAGATGCATTATTGTCCACAGTATGCTCCAGTGTTCTAAAAGCATTTGCTTCCATCCCCAGTGGATATCAAAAAACAGTATGTACTCAAGTTATTGCTCATGCAAGCCTTAATGACAAGTTCATGTTCTCTGTCAGCCAGTTGATACAGCTGACTGTCACAGGCCTTTCATTCACAACATTATTTTGTCTTAATTTTGCTGAGTTTGGTGTGTTCAGGTATATGTGACTCGTATGAAACTTGGGTTGTCTGTAAAGGATCCTAACCAATTCTCAATTATCATTTCAGATTTGAAGTTCCGTCCCGTGCTGCTCTACCTTCTACTGAGAGCTGGAAAAAAATTTTAAGGTATGCAGAGAGAGTTTTGAGTGAATTATATTTTTCAGTGTGTTTTGTTCATTCTGAATGAAATAAAATGAAGGTTAGATTTTCAGAAAACCTTCTACAAATGTTAGTGGAGCTCAAGTGGCATTGATTTCCAGTTGGGGCTTTTATTTATTAATTCATTTTAGTTCTTTGAAAATTGTAACCTTCAACAATCCATAATTACTTTTGCAGGTTATTTTTTAAACCAGAGCCTTATAAAGCTTTAACTTCAACTAAGCTTTATAAGATTTAACCAACCAAAAATGGTTTTCCTGCCTGGTCTAATGCGTGAAGGGCTTGCTAAGCTCAAACAGAATGGTTGGCCTAAGGGGCATTTGTAGGAACTTGCCTTGTCTACCAAAGCTGCTTAACTGAGCTCTATGTGGCATCAGGATGACCTTTTTATATTGAAGAAGAATTTCAACAATTCCTTATTTCCATATGTTGTTTTCTGTGCTCTAAAGGAAAAATGATGCTGTAGTCTTTCTTCAGAATCACAGCCATTTGATCTGTGTGTATCCTGTCCAGCTCTTCAGGTCTTGATCACATGTGACTCCATTCTTGGCCCCCTTAATTTTTCTGTGCTTTCCCAAGGTAACTTGATCAATAGGCATAGGCTTGTATGATATATGTATTAAAATTAATATATAGGCAGTCCTTGGACTTGCAACAATTAGTTCCTGAAAACCAGGTCTTAAGTTGAAACATTTTAACTTGGAACCAATTTTCTCATAAGAAACAATGTCTTAAATGGGGGATTGGTTCCTGAACCAAGGCCCGATACCCTATTTTCACTAAAAATACCCCAAAATTTTGTACTTGATCAATTATAGATGAGTAATGTAGCTACATTAATGTATTTATATTGTAAATAGCAATCATATTGATTTGGAAGGACTTCTTTGAGGTGACTTTGCTGCACTTTTTAAAGGGTTCTTGGTTGGACTTTTTGGAGGGTTCTTGGCTGGAGTTTTCTCAGGAGTCCTGGCTGCAAGATTTTCTGCAGTATTGTCTGCTTTCTTAAAGAAAGTGTCCAAGGAAGTTTAGACAGATATTCTTCAGGGAGATGGGAGACGCAGCGAACCTTTTCGCTGACATGGCATCACATCGGATCAGGCATTGTAAAGTTGAAACTGACATCATAAAGCTGAAACAAGGTGACACTTTATAAACATTGTAAGTGTGAAATGTTGCAACTCGAAAGGTTGTAAGCTGAGGATTGCCTGTACTCCATTTTTCTAATTCTCTTGCACTTGACTGTCATCAGTGCAGAACTTGAGGGATCTGGTCACTAATTCTTGTAGCCCACATTTTACTACCATATTTACTCTAATACAATATGAGGTTCTCCCCCTTTTGGCCTGGGGGAAAATCCATCTGCCTTACTCGGGTACAGTAAAATCTTGTTAAATACATTGTCTGTCATTAAACTGCAGCCAAAAGCAGCATGTGCTCAGCAATGGAAATCAACTATGAAGTTGATTAAATACAGGCAACACTCAGCATGACTATAAAACATGTGGCCCACCTTGGGAAAACCTGCTGATGGTGGAACCTTTTTTTTTGTGTGTGGCTCTTAGACAAATATAAGCAGGTGTTCATAGTTTCATAGTTGGTCGGGTCGGAAGGGACTTGAGCAGATCATCAAGTCCGACCCCCCCCTGCCATGGCAGGAAAAGGTACTGGGGTCAAACAACCCCAGCAAGGTGTTCATCCAGCCTCCTCTTAAAGACCCCCAGGGTAGGAGCCAGCACCACTTCTCTTGGAAGTTGGTTCCAGATCCTAGCCGCCCTGACAGTGAAGTAGCGCCTCCTGATATCTAGTCTGAATCTACCCTCTGGCACCTTGTGACTGTTGTTACTTCTAGTCACTCCTGGTCATGCTCGGGGGAACAGGGACTCCCCCAGTGCCTGCTGGTCCCCTCTGACTAGTTTGTAAACAGCCACTAGATTCCCCCTCAACCTTCAGTTGTGGAGGCTGAACAGGTTCAGGTCCCATAGCCTCTCCTCGTAGGGCCTGCCCTGCTGCCCCCTGATCATGCGAGTAGCCTCCTCTGGACCCTCTCCATGTTGTCCACATCCCCCTTGAAATGCGGCGCCCAGAACTGGACGCAGTACTCCAGCTGCGGCCTGACCAGTGCCGCATAGAGGGGGAGGATCACCTCCTTGGACCTGCTCGAGATGCATCTGTGGATGCACGACAAGGTGCAGTTGGCCTTCCTA